TAATTGAGTCTGCTATTAAGATGATTTCGGCTGACGGTTTAGCCGCAGCAAACAAATTAAGACAATTCGACGCAGGTGCGACTACTGGCCAAAGCAGCGCAATCGCTCCAGCTTTACCTGCTGACTTCATAAAAGACCTGAAGGACGAGTTTTCATGCGTGCACCAGGAGGCGGAGGACCTAAAAATAGGTTTCGGAGGCATGGGACGCTGCGTACAACTCAACACGAATTGCATTAATTCGTACGCAGGGGACTCCACTAAGCTGACACTCCAGGTCATGGATGGCTGGTTCAATAAAAATGCTTCTGCGTGTAATGCGCACGGCCGGCGCTTGCGATGCGCACAGGGCGATATCCATCAGTTTCGGGTCTTGGGCGCATGCGTAATCTTGTTCGTACTGGTAGATGAAGAAGGGCTCATATTTGACAGTCCCCACGAAACGCATCTGCTCGTGCAGGTGAAAGAGTCCCGGGAATTTGCCATGGTCAACTGGCATAGCTTGGAGAACCACTCCACTCGGCGCTGCTTTCCAGACTGGACAACAACAGGCCATAAAATATTAGAGGAATTAAGAACAAAGTTGAAATCAAAAGAATGCATGTTTTATTATCTTATACATATTAGATTTCGGCAACCCGCGCCCCAACCCTACCTCCACACTCTCGGAAAACACAAACGAGCACGCCAGAGGCAGCGAAATCGCACGTTTGCAGCGACACGAAGACGCCGCGCGCGGGGCGCTGCGAGCAGCGCTGAATGCCCCGGCACGGGGCGCCCTTCCGCAGCCCGCGGGGCCCCGAACGCCCCGGGCGGGCCGAGCTAGCACAGCGGGTGGGTCACGAAGCCCACCGGAGGTCCTCGGGCAGCGATTCCACGCTAAACGCCCACCATCGTCTAAGCCGCCCTAGACGATAGACTAACGCGTCCTTAGCGAATAAAGATCGACGGTCAGCGCATGTGACAGGACCAGCACGTTCGAACGTCAACGTGAATACTCGGGCTTGACTAATTAGCGAGATAGTAAGATCCGGGACGGGGAAGCAGCCTAATGGGGGTATCCCGAGAATATCGCCCCCTCGTTCTTCCCCCCTTGTCTAACCCTACTCTATTAATGGAGTGCCTCAGGCTCAGGAGATTCGCGCTCACCGAGCCTGAGACTTTTATAAGTCTTCCATAGAGCCGGCGACATCGTCTGTTTAGCGTTTGCTTAATTGCCAGTAAAAATTAAGCGGTACTGAAAGCGGTACTAAAAGATTTATATCTAATGGGATAAAAAAATTAATTTATGTGAAATTGTAAAGGTTTTGGGCGTTTGTTGGTATTCACTTCAAGTTGAAGCTATATTGAACTAAGGTAAATCCCCTTAATATAAGGAGCCGAATTATATTCCCCGACAAGGGGAATTTTACGCGCAGCGTATTCGGCTTCTTTTATTAAGGGGATTTACCTTAGCATGTTGGCCTACGCAAGGCAAGGACATTGAAAAATATCCACGCGTGTTGAACAAAAGTGTCTTGCTCTCGTATACCAGGGCCCTCCCAACATGGCTGGACCGTAGCGATCTGATCCCTCGGTACGAGCCTTTGTCGAGCTATGCACGCACTGTTTCTTTTCTCCACCCCCGCAGAGGGTACCGGCGCGGAACTTTGCAAAGCTTTACAAAAAGATGGATGGAACTGTACTTGGGTATGCACTCAGTCTTCGAAGGTTGCGCAAATGTTGCCTGACGATGTTAAACTTGCCTGCATACCATACCCACCGATGCCCAGGCGTGAAATAAATGATGCGTTCTTTATCAAGGCTTATACACATATTTTTTCTCAGTCCAAAGTGAGCTACCAGGCGGCTGGTGTCAGTTGGTTGTATATCTTCCTCATGACCATCGCATCATACTTCCCTTCGCGTATCTTCCGATCCGTCTCGCTGACAAGACATGCACTGACGCAAGAGTTCAAAGAATCGCGGCCAACGCTAGTTATCATGGACAAAATATCAGCGAGCGTGTTTGACTCAATATTCAAGGGCGAGGCGCTTGCTGCAAAATGTAAAACCATACCACGTATTGTTCTCTTCCACGAAGGGGTCAAATTCCGACCACAATTCATCATCGATGCATGCCAAAGCTCTTGCCAACTATTTAGACTTGGTTCCCTATGTACGGTAGATTTCTTTGCTGTAAAAATATACTTACTTTTGGCACTATTTGCATTGCGTGTTATGCTTTTCTTCACACCAAGGAAAACATTGGACAGTATGTTTGGAGTTCCCAGTCATTTCCTTACGGAAACTGTTGTTTACTGCACAAGACCTCAATTCGTTCTCGGAAATGGTTACCTGACTTGCCCAACACGCGATGCACAGTACATTGGACCCCTGTTTGAATCGCCCCCCGCCCTGGATGGTGAGATGAAAACTTGGTTGGAAAATGTCAAAGCGCCCATTGTATTCGTATCGCTCAACTCAATCTGCCACGAAAACAGTCATCTGCCCGCTGTGTTGCAGGCCCTTGCCCAGTCAGAGTACATCTCCTTAGTCGAAGTTACCGACCAAGAATACTGGTGTCGGCAAGGATACGATTCCATTCGTTTCGTGTCTTCAAAAGATCGGCATCACAAGTATGCCTATCTCCCGTTCGCTTCTGTCTTCATCACTCAAGGTGATTCCGGTTCTTTTCATGCAAGCGTTCTTGCTAGTGTACCATTGATTGTATTGCCTCTGTACGGCGACCAGTTCCAT